GGAAAGAGCTGCTCCTCTGTTCTTTGCATGCCGAGACTTCCCTTTGCGTGCCTCTTCCTGGTGGAGTGCAGTCTGGGTGGAAGGTTAATATACAGTCACAGACTCCTTGAGGAAGACAGCCAGGAGGGCCTGCCAGCATGCACTTTTCTCTGTTTCATCCCACCTTTCTCATTGCATGGGGTCATTACAGTGAAAAGCAAAGGAAGGCAGTGTTTTTATGCACTGCTGAAATGATGTCCCCACGCAGAGGTTGTCTAACAGGGTCTTCCTGTGATCAGTGTGTTCACAGGAGTCTGCCACAACACTGATTTAAATACAAAGCATTTCTTCATGTGTTCCACTGTAGCACAGGGCATTTGCTGAATTTTAACCCCATGGAAAGCCTTGGGAAAATCTGATTCCTCACTGGTAAAGTCATCTGGGATAAAGAAAAGTCCAAGGGGGAGTGTCTAGTCCCTTAAAGACTCAGCTTTTCAAAATTTCTCAGATTTTCAACTGATTATCTGTGTTGGCTGGAAATCCCTGTAAAGTACTGTGTGGTCCTCAAAGGATAAATCCTACAAGTTTGGGGCAATTGTGCTATTCACAGAAAACGAGGCTGCAGCATTACCCAGGGACTGTTGGGTGTGATTCCCACACCAACCCCAGGGGATGGCCTCCAGGAGAAAGCTGCAGCTCCACGAGATGTGTTTTCCTCAGCTGGCCCAGCCCTATTACCAGAGGTGCCCTTGCCTCACCACGACACACTGTGCATCTCCTCCCAGAGCTGCCCCAAGCCCCTTTTACCAGCCCAGGCACAACAGTGTCAGCGCCCTGGCAGAGTAGGAGTCCCATGTGCATGGTTCTAGGCAAAGTTCAGTGATGCTAATAATTTACGAGCAGAGAGACCAGCTGCTGTTGCAAAGATAAATAGGGAAACTTACCAAGAAGGACCTTTCCCATCATATGTGTTGCTTTGTGGGTTTTGTGCCAAGCCAGGTAACATGAGGTAAGACCAAAAGAGGGCAAAGCAGTTTAGAAGGGCAGAGAAATTGGGAACAGAGGGGAAGGAGAGTGGCTTTGGGGATTTCAGGGATTGTCTGAAGGTTTCCAGCAGTTCAGTGCTGTTTCTCTAGAGCGTTGTGTGGTCTTTTACTGCCTTTTGCAGTCAAGTGTCTCTGCAGGACTGCTGTGTCAGAGGCAATCTGCTCCCCTGTACCTCCTGACTTTATGTGTGTAGGATAACCAAGCTTCTGCGACTGGGGCATTTCTGAAACATGACTTGGACAAGGAGCGAAGGAAATAGGAATACAGGCTCAACAGCTCTCCTGCTTGCTGCCTCTCAGAGCAGACAAGAAAGGACGGTTTTCCTCTGCACTCATTTCTGTTCTAAGCAGCCCTGCTGTATGGGGCATGGGCGTAGTTGGAATGAAGCGTGGTTTTCTGCCCCAGGGAACAGAGTGTCAGCCCTTTAATCAGCTCAATGCCACGCACTGCAGCCTCCCAGTGATGGAGCAATGTGTGTGCACGGTTGGGACCAGGTGGGCTTCAGGGGGGTGCAAAAAGGAGGGATCTTTCTTTTCTAGAAAAGTCATTGAAGATTATTTCCATGGTGGGTACCTCCCCCACAGCCTGGTCACAGAGAGCATTCAGCACAGAAATGGGACAGACCTGAGTTTTCATTTTTGCTTTGCAGTTCGTCTTTAAAGTGAAAGGGGACTTTTGTGGGGCTGAATGACTCTTCATGGACTTTGGTTCCTTCAGGCTCGCAGCGTTCAGGTTGCAGTTTCAAAGGTGCAGAGCCTTTTAAGGGTAGATGTGACATCAGCAGGAGTTTCCAGACCCGGCACATGCACTGCCAAGAAGGTTTTTGTTCTCCTTTTGGTTGCAAAGGAGACTCTTAGGGGCAAAGTGCGGAGAACCTCATGCAACTCATGATGCGATGTCACCCTGACATTTACTGTGTGCCTGCTCCTCCCCTGCTGCTGCAAAAGAAAATAGAAAATTGTCTTTATCAGGGTCCACAATCCCAAAGTTTGGACTGGCTGCTCCTGTGAGTCTCTCCAGCGACAGAGCTGAACTGTGAGAACAAGCAAAAATGTGGTTGAGGGGAAAATACACACAAATGCACACAGATACACAGGGGAGGAACTTCAAGACTCAGCCTAAACTGGGCTGCTTTTAAGGTGAATGCTTTTTCACGCAGCGTGTAATCAAACTGTGCAACTCATCATCACAGGATGTTGTGGAAGCCAAAAAATACACGTGCATTCCTGAAGGAGCAAAAATGCTTCCTCAAGGGGTAGGTCTCGCTGTAGTGATGTAACTGCTGATGTCAAGACACCCTAAAACTCCTGGCTGCCAAAGGTTGGCAAGGTACAGCAGTTCTTATCCCATGTAGAGTGGAAGAGCTGATTTTGCTACTGGTTGCTGGCTGATATTGATCAGAGGGCTGAGTGGGCTCATAGTCTGCTGCAGTTCGGTTGCTCAGAGTCTTCAGTGCATTATAAGGGGAAGTACAGGACTTGGCAGGGGGGGAAATTGTTTGAATCTTTCCCTTCAGAAGACCAATGAAGTGGCTGAGCAGAGGGAAACCAGTTAAATGAGAAGTTTCAGGGGAGGAATTTGGGAATTTGAATCTTCTCTGTCCCGAGGCCAGCTATTTCCTTGTTTTTCTGCTTTCAGTCCATGGAGAGCAACAGATTGGTACTCGCCTTCCTCTACTGGAGATGGGTGTTAAGGTAGTGAGGCTGAGGCAAGCAGGGCAAACGCAAAGCAACCCAACCTTTTGGACTAACAAAGCACAGAGATAAGTCTCACCCTGAAGATGATGAAACCCAGGTGAAAGCCCAGCCATCTGCCCTGGCCTTGGTGAAGCACAGGACAGCACGTTAATACCGGGTCACTCTTCCAGCAGCAGCAGGAGCTCCTTGCTAAGCTGCTCCCTCACGTGTTAAGTCCTGTCCCCTGTGACCACCTACCCACTGGAAAGAGGAAGTAGAGTGGGAAAACAGGACTGATCACTGGCATGGAGTGAACAGAAGTTGCAGTGTGAAGCAGGGGGTTACTGCTAGCGTGGTCAAAGTTGTACCTATTTCTCCCTCCAAGGGGCTCAGCTTATTACAAGAGGCACATGCCTGTGTACTAGATTTGGCACCAACACGGTCACTGGGCAGGAGGTGGGGAACGCCTGTGCTGTTTTGCAAGTAATCCCAAAGGATGCCCATGGGCCTTTATGAATATGTCTGTTTTAGCCAGCCTAGCCAAAACTGTTCATTTGCTAATACTAGAAGGCTGATGACAGTGTGGCTGTAACCTGTGTTTCTCATTGTAGGGTTGCTCCTAGCTTCTGGGATCTTGAAATATTAGGGGGTTTTTCTTAAAAAACAAAAGAAAAAAGAACTCTTCCAAAAAAACCCTGAAACCCCCACACTTACAGTCCACTTTGGTTCTGTTTGGCACGCAGGGAACCCACCAGAGGGCGACACAGATTTTCCAGACACTGAGGTCTGAAAAGGGAGAGCAGAGGATATAGCAGTTTGGGCATGTATGTTTTTATACCGTGACATGAGTAATGACAAATCTTTAAGGTGTTTAAGAGGCCACCAAAGTTTCTGTTCAGGCAGGTAACTCTCCTGCCTTTGCCTTCAGACATCATTTGCTCAGGATCCTAAGTAGCACTGGAGCATCACGTAAAAGGCAACGCCAAGGGAGGCCCCCCCTCAGTGCGTAGCTGAAGCTGTAAACAGCTCTGTGGGTGACGAGCTACATTAGCAAGTGCAGACAGAGCCAAAAGAGTTGAGCTTTATGCAGCAGGATGTGGCACAAGGCTATAACACTGTCTCACTGACTTTTGTCTGCCCCCCACCTACAGGCTATGCACTGGAGAAGAAAGTAGTCAAAAGCAAAGTGGGAGAAAAAGTCGGTTTGCCTTGTTGCCATGAAATTCCCAGCTCGGAAAGCCTACAGAACTACCGGGTCTACTGGCAGAAGAACACTACAGAGGTAGTGCTTGCCTACGCGGCGGGGGAGAGGATCTCCGAGCACAACTCCGCCCGGTATGAGAACCGGACAGAGATAGACCCCAGGAACCTCACCCTATGGATCTCCTCCATGGAAATCCTGGACAATGGCCCTTACTGGTGTGTAGTTCAGCACCTCAGATTTTCGCAGAACCCGGTTGTTGTGTGCAATGAGCCTGTCAACCTCTTTGTTACAGGTAGGTGGATTGCCTCCTGACACCTGGGGCTTTCTGGTGCCATCCCCAGGGTAAAGGACACTCCTTAAAGCATTAGTCGTAGTACAGCAGATAGACTTGCACGAGGAAGCCTCAAAGAGTGCTGGAGGGTGTGTTAACTGTTTCCTTTTTAGCAGCTTTCCTCCGTACCTTTCCAAAGCTACCCCGGTACAGAAAATCTGCCTTTCCCGCCACCAGCCCACCATCCTCCCCTTGATGCCTCCCTCTTGGGAAAAGACCTCCCCCCTAGGACACCTTCCCAGGTACCACTGCTGGTGGGTGCCCTGGGCCGCCTCTGCTGTGTTTTGGGCAAAGTAGAGACCAAGCCCTTGGTGCATGGGAAGCATCCAAGCTGAAAGAGGAATGCGGTGGCATTGCTTCTCTAATGACCACAGTAGCATCCCAGCCCTGCACCAACCCCCCTGCGAAGCCCAGGCTCTTGGGGGGCTGGCCAGACCACCGGCTGCGCTGCAGCTCCACAACCTAAGGCTGAACTCAGCTGGAGATCTGAGGCTTTTTATCTTAAAGAAACAACCCAAGTTCCTTTTCTCAAAATGAATCTGAATCTTTTCTTGGAGGCTACAGAAAGTTCCATTGACATTATTTTCCATTTCCACCACTGTTTTTGTAGCTGTTGGTTTCAACCAAAGGCAGAGATATTGGTAACATATAAATATCTACATACATTTGAATACCTTTAGCAGCAGAGAGTTCCAGGAATCTTCCAGAGAAGTGAACGAGCATTCTCCATCTGGAATGAGATTCGTCAGCAAAATAAACGAGCTCCTGAGGCTTGGCCATTGCCTGCTTGTCTGAAGGCATTGTGGGCATATGTGCACAAAGACAAATTTAGTGATCTTTCTGGGAACTGGTATGAAAAAAAGGGAAGTGCACTGCCTGCAGCCTCTCTAGCTGTGAGGGCTGAGGAGTTAACCACATGAAAAATGTGAAACAGCGGATCTCTTTTCCTGCCCACAAATACTCCAGTTTCTTTCCTTCCAGAAATCCCCTTGCTGTCTTAACAGGACAGTTGTAATAATTGTGGTAGACTTCTGCTGCCCTTGGTAAAGTGGGATCAGTTATTGAGGGGTCCAGGAGTGAGAAAGGCAGAAAGGTGTTACTCCTTGGTGACTGACCAGGGAGCCCTAGTGAAGCTGGCTGGGATGTTTCAATGGACTTACTTTCCAGACTGGACATCAGTGCCGTATTGCTCAACACCTAGTGGGCCTGGAAGGAAATCCAGGTCTCTCCTTGTCTGCTACCGGTCAGCTGTGCAGTGCTAAGCAAGTTACCCTTTCGTTAGGTACTAGTTATTTGGTAGCCTGGCCCATGGGTTTGTGGTCAGCAGAAGCTGTGGGAGACGTGCTGCAACCACAAAGCTGTCTGCCTTCTGCAGATCCCAGCAGCCATGTGGCCAAATGGTGAGGCAGGCGGGGAGCGGTTGCACACAAAACGTTAGCTGCTCCCAAAAGGGTCATTTTGCAGCGTGCTGAGAAACCTGCTGCAGTTCTCTGCCTGGTCTTGCCCTGGCTGGGGCTAGAGGCTGAGGGGTGTAGAGGCTTCAGACCTACAGCTTGCTGGGGAGGGAAGGACAATTTGGTCCTTTTGGCAGCAGTCATGTTGTTGCGACTTAAGCCCAACAGAAAGGCACGTGCTGGGTTACTGTTTCTGATTGCTGCCTCTCTTGTAAGGATGTGGTCCCACTGAGATTTTCGCAGTGGTACAGTTGCCTTAAGTAGTTCCTTTGCCACCCCTTCCCTCTTCCTCCTCACCCTGGGCTGTTTATGGCATCCTGTGGGCATCCTCAGTTGTACCAATGCAACTGTTCACAGTAACAATGTGCACTAAATCGGCAAAAGGAAGCAGGCTAAAACGGACACCACCTTTCTTCTCCTTCTTCACTCATACTAGTCCTCTCATCCATTTCACCATGCAGCCTTACAAACACGATACATTTGACCAGGCAGGAAGGCATGGAACAAGCTGTGCAGGTGGGAAGCCCCTGAAAACCCTTTGGCAATGAGACAGAAGCCCAGTGAGAACATGGTCTGAGAGGACCTGTGTCCTGCTATGCATTTTTGCAACAACACGTATGACTTGGTCTTGCTCTCAGCTGGGCCTTCTGGAGGGGTTCATTATATATAGCAAATGTAGTTCAGTCTCTTGCTGACCAGCCCGGCAGAGAGAAACAAGGGAAAGGGCTCACCTCCTTTCCCAGCAGAGATGGACCCTATGGGAGCTTCTGGCTGAGAATGGACTAACAAGGGAGGGAAAAGGAAATTGTCTACTGTTGCCTGTAAATGGATTTTTATTCAGTTCCATGTTTTTCCTACTTGTTTTATGATTCCTTCTGTTGTTCCATAAACTGCTGGATGTAGAGAGAAATGGTGGCAATGGAGAGGTGGGGTCATGAAGTGTGTGTACTGCACAGGAGGGAGAGGAGGCAAAGGCCAAGGTCTTACCCAGGCAAGGCTGCAGGGAGAACGCTAAGGCAAAAGAAAGGCCAAACAGCTTATGATAGAGGAAGAATGCCCTGTGGGGAAGTCTTTGCTGTGACCACAGGTGATAAGAACTGCAGCCCTTGCTGATATCTGTCAGAATGGTAACTGCATCTTTCTTGCTTCAGCTGACTTCAGTGAGCCGAACCTAACAGCAGAAGTAACCGCTGATTCTTGTGCATCAACTGAACTGGTGGTAATGTGTTCTTCTTACGGAGGTTTCCCCAAACCCAAACTCTCTGGAGCCCTCAACAACATGTCCGTGGTGTGGAATGCCAGCTGGGTGACCGAGTCCAGCCTCAGCCCATACAATGTCACTGGCAAACTGTCACTCAACATGACCCAAGATGTCAACATCACTTGCTCCGTTGAATACAATGGCTTTACCAAGTCCACCAGTTTGCTTCTGAGTAGGTTTTATTAACAGTTTGTGTTACAAACCCACTTTATTGAATCTGCTGAGTTGCCTCTCTCAGAAAGTAGTAGAGTTTGTATATCTGTTCATGCAAGGCTGACCCAGTGATCCCGCCTGCGAGCCAGCTGGGGGACACAGCTCTGGTATTTGAATGGAGGCACCTGAGAAATGTGTGTGCTTTAAAAGCCCCAGGTCGCACGTAAAAAGAATTTCCTCATTTAACAAACTGTCAGCTGGGGTCTAGGCAAAATTCTTCTTCCACACACATATTTAATATGTCTATGAAAATCCCATCACTGTGCACGGGTTGAAAGTGATAACATAATAGATAAGTCTGTGCTTTGAAAAGCTTGAGGGACAAGTGGAAACAGCATGAGGGAGGCAGCACACTACAGTCCAGATGTTTTGCAGTTAAAGGGGTTCTGCAAGGAAATGCTTAAAGCCAAAAGGATTTTATTTTTTTTAATGTTGTTACCAAAAAAGTGTTCTGAAATGTCTCTGGGCCTGATGTTTTCACTATAAAGATAAGGGCACCTTCAAGCAAAGCTAGAGAAGTGCTATTTTTCCTAGGGAATTGTACCTTATTCATCAAGGTACCTTATTCATCAATCCAACTAAAATCAAAGGGGCTTTATGAGGAGAGGTGCCATTGAGCTTCAGAACGAATGCCAGAAACTAGGGCTTTATGAATATTGGTTATTGCTGGATGTAGTGCATAACGTCCCTAGAGATGGTAATGGAAGAAGGTTGTGAATATCATACAACATAGAAAAGGAGAGCAACAGAAAAGACTAATAACAATAATACACTGTTGTCACACAGATTCTCCGAGGAGGGTGCAATCACTAGTGACAGCAGCAGTCACAAAATCCCCACTTTCTGATTTTTAAGAATGTGGAACCACTCCCATGTTCCCATTTTCTGTGATGGAAATGGTCCTCCAAACAAATCTTTAGTTAAACATGGAAACAGAAGAGAGCCCCTGGTAAATGCAGGAGGCAAACCATGGAGGGGAATGTCGTACAGCAGATCAGGCTAGTGTCTTCGGAGTTGAATGATACTTAATTATGCCAGATGCAGGTGACGAAAATCTGAAGACCTGTGACCATGCACCAACTCTGTCCCTCCTGTTGAATGAGGGTTCTCCTGTACTGTACGAGAACAGCCCATTATCTACCCTAATGCTCAAGTGTCAGAATGGTCATCTCCAGTGGTGAAAAACCAAAGGCTCCAGATCCACCAAACTCTGCCACAAAACCTTTTCTGACAAAAAAAGCCTATTCTGGTCTGTTTAATGCACCACCCTCCATCACCTGTGAATTCAGAGGGGGAAAAAATCGGCATCAATCTGGTGAAAACAGTAAGAAAACCTGTAGAGTACTTTTGAGAATGCAAGTTTTGTAGACATGGACTCAGACTTTTCCACCAAGCCTAACCATTAAGTTTAAAAGACAGCTCAGGTGTTTTAAACTGGTGCCTGCCTCAGTCCTGTTCTGGACAAAGACCCAGCATTTCAGAGTCTGTGAATGTGTTAAAAATCTCAGCACATAGCAGATATAGGGGAATGGAAGAAATTTAGGTGCCAGCTCCAGCTTTGTCTGTTTGTTTATTGAATAGGTAAATTTTTCAGGCTAAGTTACAATTTGTCCAGAACCCCCAAAATTCACGTACCTGCTCTTACCTGTCAACATGTTGTTGGGCCCTTTATTTATGTTTTATTTCTTCTGTCTCAGAAAAAACAAACGACTGTGTTGTCCCTACTGTGGCTCCATCTTATAATGTCATTACTGCTTCGAGTATCATCATTATCATCTTCCTTTTGGCTATCACCCTAGCAGCAAGGTACCTCTCAAGGCACGGTAAGTGTCGATCCTTTTTCACGCAACAGAAACAACTTCTGGAGTTTCTATGTAAAATACACGTTTAGAAGCTAGGCTGACACACTTGGTATTTTTGTACCACCTTCTCATTTCCTTCTTTTCTTTTCTTTTTTTTTCCATCTACTTCAACAAAACCTAAGTCCAGCTCAGGACTTCCTACGTTTCGTATGCAGGCAGCTGTAGGCTTCAGGCTTGAGAGTGAAGGGGTGACAAGGAGTTTTGACAGCAGATCAGAGTAATTCCAAAATCAGGGATATACAGAATTGAAGAGTTTCACAAAGGCACATTTTTTATGTATTATGTTTATGTATAAGATGCTTGAAGATGCCAAGAATCTCGGTGATCATGATAGATACAGCTGAGCACTGACAGTTTCAGAACTGGATCTCTCCACACACCCTATTTAGACAATCCCTCAGAAAACTCAGAGCCAAAGGTACAAAAATACACAGTGCTAGAGCCACAGCAAAAATCTTAAGCACAGCAATGATCCACTTCTAGGAGAATCCCAATCAAGAGACATGGATTTGTCTTCTTTATGTGGCCAAAACCAGCACAGGTGAGGTGCCCTGTCCCACCCTATGAAGTCTTCAGTAACTCCAGACATGTCTCCAGGAGTTTTTCCACGGCAAAGGGGACCTCAAGCATCTTGGGGTTAGCTGGGAGCAGAGTAGATGTATTTTTCTTTTATGGCTCAAAAGAAATCTCATCTGTTAGCTGTTATTCCTCATCGTGTCTAAGCTGACCTAATTAAAAGCCCCTGAAGATGTGGGTAGACATCTAATGGGTTTATAAAGGCATCCAGCTGGTACTTGGAAGTCAGGAGCAGTAGATGTCCTATCCACACCCTGTCCTGCAGAAAGACAGCAGGCCTTGCAACACCTTATAAATATCGCCCAACTGAGTTCTGCCAGGTCACTGGGGAAGTCAGGTCTGGAGATCAGAACCCCACACTCTGTGTTCAACGCACTTAAACCAGAAGCCATCAGCCTGAGCTTCTTAACATCTCATGGTCACAGTGGTACCCCCTGTTGGAAAGAGGGTATTTGAACAGGCAGCAGGAACTCGGTTCACCTAGGGACGCTTGTATGTTTGTCACGTGTGTGTCTCTGCTACCTCTATTTCAACTTCAGACAAGTGCACTCCCAAGTGTGGAGGTAGAATTACTACTTTTCCACTCCTCACCAACCACATCCCTTCAAACCCCAATGTGACCACTGAGTCAGATCGGGCTAATTTTCTTTCTGGTGCTCTTACCACAAAGAAAGGAAGCTTCCAGAAGACAGTGACTCTTGGCTACACCTGTGCACCTCCTCATTTTCCACTCATGTGCCCCCATGACACCAGTGCTGTTTTTCCCCTGCTGTACCCTGAGGCTATGTCAATGGGAAAGCAGCAAGCAGGATGAAACCAAGAAAATCAGAACTGATCACAGTCTGTGCTGTTAGCTGTGTGGATAATGAACTTCTGATTATAGGAGAAAATGAACTGGAATTGGAGGATTTGGCTCTAAACAAATACAGGCTGGAAATCGAAAGGTTCCTTACCATTAAATTAGCAAGAATCTGGAGTATTCTGAGATAGCCTTTTATATAGAAACCAAATTGCTTTTAAAGTAGATGTTAAAAGAACACCAATGTGGTGGAATGCGATCACCTGCAGCAGCATGGGACATGGCTGCATGAACCGGAATGTCCCTTTCAGCCCATTTTCAGAATACGCACAGGGAGTGGATTTGCAGAGTCAGGTGGTGCTGTTTTGTACAGCCAGTTTCCAGACCAAGCGTATGTTCTATGAAACTGAAGGTAGAGCTTCAATCCAACTTCCCAGTTTGACCAGTTGTCACACTGCAGCGCTGCTGTGCATTGCCATGTGTCTGGGAAGGAAAACACTTGTCCTAAGAACGCTTCCTGCTGCTGTTGCTACGGGTCACCTACAAGACCTAAAATACGAAGATGCTTTGCTGAGATTCAACCCCCACACTTGGAGTAGCTCACAGCCTATCTTTTCAGTAATTTAAGAATGAAAACCTTAGATTGATTTATTTATTTTTTTGGCTCTTCAGTTAATTAAACACAAAACACCGAGATTAGACCAAGATTAAAGGTCACTTAAAGAAAAGCTTAGGATCCATGTTGTAAAATCTGTGCAACTTGCTGTAACAGTACAGAAAGATTCAACTTGATTATTCAAAGTAATTCATAGATGCTGAGATACCTGTTTAATTTGAACTCCTTTTAAAACACTGAAAGAGTTGGTTGGCTGGTTCAAATACCAGCATTCTTACACTCACTTGGTAAACTGCATTTAGTGACATATAACTTTTATCATTATGTCCTTTCTGTTCTTATCTTAGTATGTAGCAACCTGTCTTTGTGCCAGGCTGAGGTCCTAGCCCTGGGAATGAGATCTGTTTTATCATGACTCGTTAACATTTATATGTAACAGAACTTTCTATCAGATCAGACAATGTCTGTAGGCCAGCCATATTCAGGTGTACTGCAGGGATGAGACCTGCCAAGGAAAAAGAGAGGTAACTAGAACTAGAAGATTTCTTTTTCCTTAATTTCTCCTCTCCTTCCTTCCCACTGCCAGTTATATTTTACTTTGTTGAAGAAGACATTTCTATTCAGCACATTTATGTCTTCTGTAATTTCAAATACTAATTGGGGATCTTCTTTTTCAGTCTGTTCTCACTGCTGTAAGCGTCAGGATTCAGCGGAACAGGGTGTGAAAGAATGTACAAAGCCACCCATGAGCTCTAAAGTGACATCTGAAACATCATCTGTATGACCAGATTGCATTGGCAGGTAAGTTTTCTTCACCATCCTTCTCTTGGCAAAATAGCTGCTCAAATACTATTTGATTTTCATGCAATGTTAGCTCACTGTGCTGTCCTTTAGGGTAAATGCAAGCGGTAGGGCCCTGCTGCCAACTCAGACATACGGTGTTTCCTGGTCAGGTAGCTAGGGGAACGATGCTCACGTTGCTTGTGGGGCATTGCTTTGTTTGGGTTATTTTGAATCTCTAGGAATGAACCTAGTGAAAAATGTTGAGGGACAAATCTCCTGGGCTGCTCGGCTGCTTTCTCCACAGCGCTGGCCCTGCATGGATGGTGTGCAAACCTTTGTGGTGTTCTTTTCCTCAATTAACATACGTTTTTAGGGACTAAATGGAGATGGAGACAGAGGGAGGTGAATAGAAAGGACCATTTGACAACTTTGGCTGTCAGTGTCTCCTCTGAACCTGCATAAGGAAGCGGGTTAATATCCGAGAGGTGGGTTTGTAGCATGGTCATCCATCTATCAGGATCTGCAGTGACAGGCCCTGATGCTGTCCTTGTTCTCATTTTTTGGGCCTCTCAACTAAGAACTGGACAGTCTTTTAGTTCCTGTGCTGACTCATTCGTGAGTAGTAGCTCATCACTACTATAGGTCCCACATGTGGCATCATTCCCTAGAGGTTGTTTCTGGTGGATGTCCTGTGAGCCGTGTACTCATGGCTCTGTTGCATAAACATGGGAACATCACTGATGATAGAAATGATGGACTGACCAAATGGAAGTGAGGGAGACGTGAACAACAAGAGACCAACTCCAGCTTTCCCATTAAGATTAGCAATGCCCGTCCGCTTCTGAGATATCTCCATTCCCTTCAGCAGCTGGAGGAATGGAGAAGGAAAAGTTTCCCCTTCAACACTTGCCCAGGAAATACTCATCTCTTAAAAGGAGCTATTTGTGATACTCAGGTGTTGTAAAGGTTTAACTGGAGAAAAGTCTGGCTTATCCAGGTTTTACACCTACAGAGCTTTATATTTGTTTTGTCTCGAAAGCTCAGCTGTGTTCAGAGCTGTGTGTCCTCCAAAAAGACATTGGTCAAGTTAAGAGACTTAAGTAAAGATTAGCAGCTAATTGCTCTTATTCACATCATTATCCAGGTGACTGCACTTCCTGCTCTTGCCACGGCATACTGCATACATTGCCAGGGCAATAAAGTAGAGCAACAGCCGTAGAATCCTGGAAGTCGTGAATTTGTTATGCTGTGCATTGCAGTGATCTAAAAGCAAAACATTTTTGTGATGGAAAGGAGGGGAAAGTATTGTTCAGGCCATTTATCTCATTTCCAAACCTGACCACTCATGTTTTCCTCTGGGGAAGGCCCTATCTGGAACAGATACTAGAGCCCTGGTTAGCATGAATTCGGGGGAGTTTTGTGTTAGGAGCGGCAGGAGTTCACCTACTGAATAAATCCGTTCTGCCACATTCCTCTTTTGCTGCAGAAGCTTGCCAGGCTTTTTCTGCAAATGCCTGGTGTTTCCCAACTGCAGTGCTTGGAACAGCTGCTCGTCTGTGGACAGGGGTGGAAGCTGTGCTTCTCTAGCGGCCGACAAGTCACCTCGTAACTGTGCGATGTGCTGAGCCATGTCCTATTGCTGCTTAAAGGGGGTAGCACATTCATTAGCCATCCTCACTCCGCAGAGGGACAGCACCTCTGCACGGTCCAGAGGTTTTCACAGTGAGCAGCGGGGCAGCCTGTAGCTCACTGCAGTGCCCGTCTTGAGCTGTCTAGCTCCGATCAGCGCTCGGCTCTGTCTTCACTGTAGTGGGAGCCCTCTTGTGGAGGCCTATCGCAGGTCACCCCCGTTTGTCTCGGCTCTGCTGCGTTCTTGGCTTGCAGTTAGGATTAAGAAGAAGGGGAGGAAAAATAAGTAAAATCTTTTCTCTGTGTCCCTCAGGTTTCTTATCCCGTGTATTCCGCACTGCAGTCCCCACTGTTCGTTGTACAGCAAAGCTTAATGCGTTGACCCTTCGGCTCTCTGAAAGGGGATGAGAGCAGTAGAAAGCTCTGCTTATGAAGACTGGCAACATAACCCTATGTGAGTGAATACAAAACGCCACCTACGCCACAGAAGCTGTGGGGTGGTCTCATTACAACGGCGACACTGGAATTCCAGCCAGGAGGACCCTCCGTGTTCCTGCGGCGGGGCAGAAGAGGAGCGCCGCGAGCATCAACATACCAGTTCAAGAGTCTGGGATCCTCTGGCTTTGGTGCTGCCTCTGTGAACACTGGGGGCCCTGCAGAGCCCTGGCAGGCAGCCTGCCCCTTTAGTAACACAGAGCTGGCCTTTGGCAGACCCCAGACCCTGACACGCAGTCTCAAGTCAGGCTGTGCCTCCGTGTGGTGACTGGGAGCAGCTAAAACTTTATGTTCAGCCTCGCACAGGTATCTGCCAGTACTGCTCTTTGTGTTGGAGGACTTTGGATTTGGACTTGACCATTACAGATGCATGTCCCTTCTCCCCTAGAGAGACAATAACGCACACACTTTTCATGGAGAAGCACCTTGAGGTGGGACTACATGCCTCATGCTTATTTTCAGTGCTAAGAGACTTTTTAGGGAATGATCCATACTGCCGGCACACCTAGCAGCTAACTAATATTGCTTATCCACAGCAGTGGCAGAAGTTCTCATAACCTTTCTCTCCTGAAAGGATGGCCTCACCAACCCAGGTACCCAGATACTGCTCCTCCACTGAATTACTGCAGGGGCACATCTGGCACAGCACAGGGCTGGTGGTGGTGGTGGTGCACTGTGCACCCCTCTGTGCACACACTTGTACCAGCTCCTACACACGTTCCTTCCTACCCACACTTGTAACGCCCCATTTCTGTAACCATCAGTGGTTATCTCGCATGTATCTACTGTAATGAAATGTAACTCAGGGCCTTGCTGCATAAACATAGGTCTGCTTTTGTTTGTGTATTTGTCCAGGAATACTTGTTAGGGATGGATCTCCAGATTCTTGGGAGTCTCACACACCGACGTAAGGATTTACTTTGTGTTGAATACTGCCACTTTCTGCCAGCGTTCTCTCTACCCAGCCAGGACTTGAAGGAAGTACCCTGCCGGATTCTAACATTGGATAGGACTCATCTGATCTGGGTGATATTCTTGCCTACTGTGTAGGAAAAAGTGGTTTCTCATTTTCAGGGGAAAAAAAGAAAAAGCCCCAAGCCCCACCAAGCTTCCTAAGCAACTCTGCATTCTAACCTAAAAGTCAAGCCTGCCCCGAGTGTCACGGGTCTGGTTTTCCCTTTTGCTCTGCCCCACTGCAAACTGTACCTGTTTCCTTGCTGCTCTATCCATGTGTGTAGATAGCAGAGCGGACCAAAGTCTGAAAGCACCATGCCATTCCCTCTGTGGGATGTTCTGGTGCTTGAGCTGTTTATCTTGCTAGGACACAGCCAAGAAATATTCTACCCACTCCACTTTTTTCTAGCAGGTATATAATGAAAGAGAAATTGCTGGAGGAAGTAAGAGGGCTAAAAGTGTTTTATAGAAGATTGACCTACGAGAGGCTAAGGGATCAAGTCGCTAGTTAAAAATAAGACACTGCTGCTTCTTCTACTCCTGCAGTCATGCTGCCCCATCAGCTTTTTTACTGCTTTCTCACTGCATGAAGTGAAATGGGAGCTTCAAAACATTCTTATGGAAGGTTTTATGACAGAGAAAAGGAGATAAGGAAGGAAGAAAAGGAAACAATAAGCTTTGCATTTGTGCATTCTGGTTGCAAGCAGAACACAGGTGACATGGAAAGCAGCGTTTCCAAAAGGCAGCCTGACCTTATTGCAGGACTTGGGTCTATGGGCAACGGTGTCTCATTCTTTCCATTTCTGTCTATGCCTCTTCTTTCCAGCAACAATAACTAGCTTCCTGCAGGCTGAACACCCTCCTTTTGTATTTGCTCATTTTTAGCACTGTGCTTCCTTCCCTGCTCTAACAACAATGCATTTCCACCTTAGCAACCACACCACAGCCCTGACAGTTGTACCAACGTAACCTTTTCCCTCTGCCTGTTCTATTCTCTGCTTCTGCTCCTGACTGATGATTGCACAGCCTCCTGGAGAAGGATTTGTCGTCTGTACTGTGCCAAAACTTTCTATTCTATATCACCACAGACTCCTCTGACCTTTGAAGTTAACTCCTTCTAAAGGAAACAAAATGTTTCACTGACAAATACGTCTAGCATCAGTTTGGTTTTGTATTCTTGAAGTTATTTGGTTTATTTTTTCCTTAAGCACTTCACTTACTTACACTATGAATCATGTTTTCTATTGCCTTATGCTGTATTCAGTGAATTGCACACAAATGGTTTCTGTGAGACCTTTTTGGCTTAATATCTGGGTCTTTCCACCAGGTGAGCTGCTCTGTTTATCACAGGTATTATGTATATAACATTTTTTTCCTAGAGTTTAATTGTATTAAAAAATAAATGGTAAACTCAAGTTTCCTTTCCTCAGTAATAAAAGATGTCTCTTCTATGTGCTGGGAAAGAGGTAGAGCCCTTCAAGTAAGCACATGAGCCTCAGCCACCATTTCGCAGCTGCTAAAAACACAGGCTGTGTAGCATCTACGTAGCTGGTTGACAAAGCTGTTACAGGCACAGCTGGCATCAAGTCACAGCTCTCTCTGGTGTGCTCAGCAGCAATGACAAGTGTCACTCAGGTACCCATCTTGCAACTGTCACACATCTCCTGTGTGTCAATGCGTCAGGGGTTAACAGAGTGGTGTAGCTATGGTGCTCAACACGAAGTTTGCAACAGCTCTTCCTTGTCCCTGCCAGAAAGGGAGGTTCTCTGCAAAAGCAAAACCTGGTGTAAGATGTTCTCATTGTGTCCCCATTATTCCTGTTACCTACTTGGAAAGTGGAGGTCCGATAACGTCAGTACTATGCTTTTGCTGGGGTGGAGGGAAGAAGGAGGGGAGGGAGGAATGTCTTTGCTACATTACATT